TTGACAACCCTGCAAGATACGCGGCCTCCACCTGATATAAATGATAATAGCATTCAAACTGAAAGGAAATAAAGCTCTGATATGAATCTTTTAGTATTCATTATTTCTTGTAATTACATATGTTTTAACCAGGCCTTCGTGAAAAACAAAAAAAAATGTCAAACTGTCTCTGAGATAGCATTAAATTGTTTCACAGTTTTAAATCAAAGAAAAAGACCAATTTTAAAAATCAAATTCAACCGTTGTTATGGATCTTTATCATCTACAATTAGAAATATTACAAACTTTCCCCAAAAAGGTGGTAGGTTATTACCTAAGCTGTTAAATTTCTGGTACTAATTGGTCCACCTTTCTTTAAGATGAGACCTGTAAATCATTTTCAATTATGTATTGAATTAGTAAAAAAAAAGAACCTCAAATACAGAAATATCCCACTAGACATAGGGACAAACTTTCGACAACTTAACTTGTCCACAAATTAACTCCTGATCTCATCTGTGACATTTTCTTGATGAACACCATTCATTTAATAAAATACAAAGTGTGCCTTCTTAAAAAACAACATTCAGTGTGGAAGTTTCTACTGAGGGAAGACATCTCCACTGGGTATTTTTAGCATCAGTGAGGTGTTTATGAGGGAGGCAGGAGGAAGGGAAAATGGTATAATAAGATTTAAGAGAGGAAACGATTTTCTACAAAAGAATGTCAGCTGTTCTACTTTAAACTGAGGATGAGATCCCATCAGAAAACAGGAAACTGGACTTTTTTTATAGCAGGGTTGCTCAGAAGAGTCATTTTCTGCTATGGTATGTTGGAATAGCAACTGCTGTACACCTATAAGATAAATAACTACTTGTTAACCTTATTTTCTCACACACGCTTCATTTTCTCACCCTATTGGTTAACATTTTGACCACAGCATATTTAATATAACCCCTCAAATTCTTTTTGAACTCTTCACTATCCCCTTTTTCACATCACATTCCTCCATCTTCTCATCTAGCTTCCTGGATCAAGAGAAAAGAGGTATGCAGCCCCAGGGGAAGGCGGTTTGGACTCCCAGCCACCTGCCAGTCCAGGTGTCCCTCTTAGGTTATCCAATGTCTGACTGGACATAGAACCTCTCTTTTTGGGGCCCTGACCCTACAATCTGTCAGCACCGCAGGGACTAATGCACCGTATGTCAACAGGCCAATAATGTGATCAGCAGAGGATGAAGCAGCCTTATTTGGTTATGGCTGGGCTCATAAAAATGCATCAACTCAAAGAAGAGAAACCGGAGCTTAACTTATTTTCTCTTCCCACTCAAAGTCTTGAGGTCTTCTTTTAATGCTCTAATCTTTAAACAACCGCAAAGGTGAGGGCGGATTTGAATCGAAATGACAAGTGATACATTCCAAAGCAAAGAGATGGCCTTGATTGGACGACTAACACGCGCACAGATGTGCAGCAAAAGGCCCGCAGATTCTGTCTGCAGGCTGTTATGGCTGCATAAGCATACTCGCTGTCAGAGAGATGAAAGTACGCCCTTAGGAAGGATTTTTTTTTTTCCCTTCTCTTTTGTCAATTATTGCAAATGTTACACCCACTAGGAATAACAACACTGCTTTCCAACACTGGAGTCTGAACTTCTGCATGCCAAACGTGAGATCCCAGCTCTACCAGCAGACCTTCTGCTGTTTCTTATCTGAAAAAAAAATCCTAAAACAAAGACTATTGATTTAGATCCAGATGTGGAGGCACACCAGACCAGTTATATTATCAGCTGCAGGGAGGCAAAGTGGGATAAGTAAGAACAACAACAAAAAGTGGAAAACTCACAGATTCTGTCACCAGTTACTGTTAATAAAAGTAGATTTTTATTCTCTGTGGGCTGGGAGAATTACTCTATTTAGAGAGAATGTAAAAACACAATTTTGGATTTTAATGTATTACTATGGTTATTGTTATGAAAATAAACCAAGGATTCATGCAGTTATGGCCCTAAAGCGGCTCCAATTTTAGCATTTTCTGTGTAGAATCACATCATACTCAGTCTGTTGCTGAACACTGGCGGTCAGCTGGCTGATAGAAGGCTTCATACGCTCTTCCACCAATAGCAAGAAAAAAATTCCACTTAAGATTTGCAGTGGTAAAGAGCAAAGACAGTAAAAGTGAGAGAACGAGCAAAACCTGTCAATCCTATTAGGATGTGTTATAAAACCATCAATCTCTGTTACATTGTCGCTCATCCCCCTGGGCACCTTTATTTCAGGGCTTGATTAAAAAACAAAGTTATAGTTGCTTCTTTTAAAAAAAAAAGTTT